CATGGGTTTAATATTACGACTTCTTAATTTCAATTCTTATTCGATCACTGCAAAATAAATTTTGTGCTCTCATTGGTGGTATCATAACAATAACAAATAATTATTACCGTTACCGTTACCGTTACCTTTGCCATAGTCTACTATATTAATACTTAAGCTAAGGGTTGTATAATTAATATATCAAAATCTAAATAATCTAAATAATGTATGTATGTTAACAAATATTTAAGTGCTTCTTGGTTATTATTAACCATTATCTCTATTATCTCTATTAGATTCCTGTCTCGTGATCAAAAAACGATCAGTTACTAGTAATGAAATTTTATTTATGAAATTTTACTTGGTTTCTTTATGAAAATTTACTTGGTTAAATTTTTTTATGATATATATAAAATATATATTGTTTTATTTGCTACATTATAGGGTGTACGTTGTTTTTGAGCATTTCTTAACCTGTTTTGTAATATATTTAACGAAACACTTTATTTATATAAAAGGATTTTTTAGTATGTTAATAAAAAAAAAATTGGTGGTAATTATTTATATTAACTGTAACAAACAATTTTCATATGGATACTGTTTTTGGAAGTTAAAAAATTTTTTTAAATGAAGTTACTTCATGCTTCCATTAAAATTCGATTATGAATATTAACTAAACCACTGAGAGAGAATTAGATATACGGTCCTTACTTATTATTACATTTTTTTTTTTTTCTGTCATTCTTTTTTTTTTAATACAATAAAAAAAAAAGTTAACTATCTTCCTCTTCCTGTAAATAGATACTTTTATTAAGATAACAGGACTAAAACAATTAAATTCACTTTTTTTGATGGAGCGACTGATACTTTAAATATTCTATATTCTCTCAAATCACTGAAATGGTCTTTAACCAATTTAAGTTATTATTATTTACTTTTCTTTACATAACCATAACGATAAGTACTGTTCTCGGTCAAACAGTACCTATCGCTCAAGCTACTCCTAGCGTTCAGGGGAGTCCCGCTCAACCAAATGTCGCTGCTAGCCCTATCGCTACAGGTGACATTAGCACTTGCACGACTTGTAATAAAGTAAAAAGTGCATGTGGCTCAAAATTCAATCTCCCTAAAGTGAACTCTCAAGGCACTTATATTGCTTCAGGTAAGAGACGCAAACTTTTCCTTTTTAATCCAATTTTTTTTCTTTTCTTAATTCACGTATGTATGTACAGTACATACTTACGTATGTTATCTTTTTTTTTTTTTTTATAGATAAATGTTATTGTAGTTATGAAGTGTATAATTATTTGTTGCGATGTTTGACTTGCTATAATAGCGCAAATGTGGGAAATAGTACTTTGGATAGTCTTGACGATTGGAGTGCTACTTGCATTGCCTTAGGCTCTTCACTCGACCAAAATAACACAACGCAATCAAACCAAACTGATGTTCAGTCAACTAACAACAACAATAATAATAATAGTAATAATAGTAATAATAATAATGATGCAACGGATTCTTCTGATGATAATCTAACACGTGCAATAGGCATTGCTGGATGTTCTGTTGTTGTATTATTACTTCTCATAGGCATTATCATTCTCATTAGAAAGCGTAGCCGTAAATCGAGAAAAATCGGGGACTACAACCCTGATATATCAAAACCCACAAAATCATTAGATATAGTAGATGATTACAAACGCAAAACAAAGTACTCTAATCAGAATAATGATAATCAATTCAAAAAAAATGATACAAAACAAAATGATATAAAACAAGATGACATAAAACAAGATGATATAAAGCAAAATGATATAAAACAAAATGATGGTGGTGTTATGATCGATGTCAATTTAAATGATCAACAACAACAACCGCATTTATCTGCTCCTAATGATATCAAAAAAGAGATTCCCCAAGAATACGATCAATATGACGATGAAACTATTGGTCAAGCAATACTACCTGTAGCCGCCGCCCCTGAAATTATTACTATAATTCCTGAAGTTCATATAATTGATGAAAATTCAATCATTAATTTCAGTGATAATATCATTGATAGCCAGCTCCAACAACAACAATACTATTATTCTAGTGAACAACAGCAACATATTGACCCTAATGGAAGTATATATTATTCTAGTGAATCGCAGCTACATATGGACCCTAATGAAAATATATATTACATTTAACCCTTCTTTTTTTATCCTCCTCAAAGATAGAAAAAAAAGCGTTGCTTCTGGATCGTAATGTTAGAACCTTTCTTTAAATAGTCTCGTATTTTATTTATCAGAAATATTTTATAATTCGGCATTATGCGCGGATATTTGTAGAAACTGTAGAGACATAATAATTTTATTATTTTCGTGCTTTTATTTTTTATTTGTTCTATATATAGTATATTTTAATCCTATATTAATTCATATTTAATACTTTTTTTTTCATTTTGAATGTTGCGTGGTTGATACTGTAAAAAAAAAATTAATATGTATGATTAGTTGCATATTATTTTTTTTTTAAGGTTATATCAATATTGCTCATTGCTTTTAATTTTGTGACAATTCACTTCAAGAATTAGATAATTACGCGTTTATCAATGTAGTAACGGTAATTACCCTTAATTTGTAATAAATACAATGCTCATCATAAATAATTATATTCGCTGTAAACTTGATTTAGTGTTGTAAATTAAAAGTATGAAAACGTATCGTTATTAGAATGAAAAAAATATATATAAAAAATAATAACTCTTATGATATTCTAATAGGTAAATCTCTGCAATACTTTAATTTGGGCACACGAGTACTTGATTAAAGTGTTACATTTATATAATCTTAGTGTAATCTGCAATTTGAAATGGTATTTTGCTTCTTTATAGGCAACTGATGTTCTGCAAGTACTTGTACCCGTACCCGACACTATTAAAATGTAATGCTTGTATCCGTACCCGGCACATTAAATCATAGTGTCGGTTAGTGTTGTTAGGCGAAGCCTAGGGGTTTCACCCTGGCGAAAGTCGAATCCCTAGTTTGACTTTCGTCAAAAAGTTCTGAAATGGCGTAACTAGTGAAAATTGACGAAACTGGAGAAAATAGAAATTGCCGAAATTAAACAAACTAAAAGTTGTAAAACTACTTAGTAATTAAAGGATAAAGGTAAAACTTACCAAACTAAAATAAACATTAAAGGTAAAACTAAAATAAAAGTAAATACTATAATTATACAATTTAATTTATAAATAAACTGGCCATTCTGGAGATTTTTATTCGTTATGGAATTAGTTTGTTGCATAGTAAAACTTTTAAACTTGACACCTTAAGAAATAATGTTTAATTATTTGATTGATCATAGTAGTTAAATTTATTACTTTAAAATATTCAAAATTATTAGAAAATCTAGTTGTTACTTTTAATAAATTTTCACTTGCACATTTATAAAATAAATTGTATATGGATTTAAATTTAGAAATTTCAAGTAATTTAGTAATTTTTTATATTTATTATAATAAATTGTTCTAACTTCTAACAAGCTTTATTTAAATTAGTGATCTTGGTTCTCTTGTTTTTTAAACACATGGTTATAACAATATATACAATAAAAAGCCATGCAAAAGCTAATTACAATATAACAGATTTACTGCAACTTTGAAATCAGTTCTTTCGATTACGATACCATTAATTTTGCAAAATATGTGCTATTTGATTTAATTATTTTACCGGTAAAAAAAAAATTTTTCTTTACATTGAATTTTGTCATTTTGGCCAATTTTGACTTATGGCAATTTGCAAAAAGATGTGACTCTGTGATTTCGTTATGATGATAGTGGAAAATTCCGAGATATTAAATTTTCTATTGATCATATTTTCAATCAATAACATCTATTGGTCAAGTGTAATGGCAGAAAATTTTCGAATGCATTTATTTGCGCAACAGATTACGTAATGTTCATTGATGATCTAAGCATGTTCTATGTAAATACGCGATCCTTTTTAAATTTTCAACTTCTAGCGAAGCATGGTTGACGATCCATTTGATTGGCCAATATATTACACAAGATTTACATATACTTGGATAAGAAAAGTATCATCTTGCAAACTAGCCACCCACATTAGGGTTGCGGCCCAAACCTCTTTTTTAACGTATGACATTACTGCATAGTTTGGGTTTGGGAATTGGGATTTTTACCTAATTTGGGTTCATAACAAAAACCCAAACATACATCCCATTTTATTCAATAATGTCAAACATAAAAACCAATCAAATTCGTTAAATTCGATAATATATCTATTAAAATAGTATGGTTCGTGAATTGACAATTCAGGATTATACTGGCAATAATATCAAATTACCTTTAAACCCGTTTTTTAAATAATTTTAATTTGTTCTAAACATGTTTATAATCCCGAATTATTATAAATCCAAACTTTATTATATAAAAAATTTTCTCACTTATTAGTAATCTTAATTTGATCTAAAACCCTTGCATGATATATACGTATAATTAATTAATATCATGCCTATAAAATTCCACATTTTTTATTTATATAGTGTATCTATTTATGATCAAAGAACAAAATTGAATGTTGCAAGCTGTTTATCTTTCTCGGTCATAAAAATGAATCGATTATCAAATAATTAAATACAGTTTAGCTTGCATATATGTTTAGAGATTTTTTCGCAGAATTTTTTTCTTAGAAGTTTTTTTAATTTGTTGCCCTGATGAAACCAGATTATGAGCAAGGTTAGTAATTGAATCATTTCACCACATTTGGTAAATAATCATACTTTCTTGATTCTGTGACATTAATGTTCATGAATATTAGACCGATAGCATTACATATAATTTTGATTGAATTATGTTGCCGTACTAATTATTATTACAAGAATATTTCAGGTTAATTTAATCAGGATACACAACAAATACTAATTGCGTCTTGAACTTCACAACAGATACAGACCTTTATTAAACTTGACTTTGTGATTATCTAAATATAGTAATTGAATCATTTCACACATATACTTATTTTATTCTGTGATACGTATTAAGGCTCGTGAGTATTAGGCTGATAGTTAATTTGTTCAGTTGTAAATAAACATCAAGATTATCGAGATTACCTTATAATCTTGATTCTGAATTATGTTACTGTGCTAATTATTATTACAAGAATATTTCAGGTTAATTTAATCAGGATATACAACACAAATACTAATTGTATCTCGAACTTCACAACAAATACAGACCTTTATCGATATCAATTAAACTTGAATTTGTGATTATCTAAATATAGTAATTGAATCATTTTACACATTTGAATACTTATCTTGATTCAGGTTCACGAATATTAGGCCGATAGATGATTTTTTTTAATTTGTTCAGTTGTAAGTGAATATCAAGATTATTGAAATTACCCTTGCATTACATTATAATCTTGATTTTGAATTTAATAAGGATATACAACACAAATACAATTGCATCTCAAACTTCACAACAGATACAGACCTTCATCGATATCAATTAAACCTGATTTTGTAATTATTAAATATGAGTACTAAAAAAAAAATAGCTAGTTAAATAAAATTAATGATCTAAAACTTTTAAAAATACAATCTCTTCTTTTTTGTAACAACATTTGTAAGAATAATGATATAAACCACATGAACCTTTAAAAATCTCTTACTCTTATGTAAATAGTTTTAGTAGTTATGTTAGATCATCTTTTGATCTATCTTTAATTAAAATTTTCACACACACAAAAAAAAAAGAAGCCACATGCATTCGCTAAATAACATGTATTTATCGAACAGAAACCTGTATGAATATTGTAAAATAATATTAATATCTTATAATAATGCATTGCATACATATATCTTGATACTTCCTAGAAACCTTAATTATTCAAATATGAAAAAAAAAACTTTACATATATATAAATATAATCTTAGTGTGTTTGTTTCACGTAATCTATAATATACAAAAAAAAATAAAAAATAAAAGATAAAAAATAAAAACTAAAAAATAAAAAAATAAAGTTATTGTCATTATAGAAGAAACACCTATACCAATCGATGAATCTTCTAGTTCCCAACAACTTGATATTCTTTATACTTCTGCCAAACGTAAAATTGAAAAAAGCAAAGGAGGCAGACCAAGAATGCCTATCTGGGATGATTATGATGAAGGTGAAGTTGATGGGCATGAGCATTTTGAAGCAAGTTGCTATTATTGTAATAAAAGAAAGTGGCAACGAGAAAATCTTCTACTATGGAGGCCCATTTAGCACTTCATTGTAAAGGCCCAGTACCAGATAACATTAGAAAAAAGTGGTTAATCGAAGTAGCTAAAAGAGATAAAAAAGTGAATGACAAAAATGAAGAAATTCCTAACAGAAAAAAAGCCAAAATGTCTAACCAAACAATCACTTCACACTTCCAATCTATTAACAAATTAACCTCTCAGCAATCTGTAGACATTACAAAAGCATTGCTTAAAGCTTTTGTATATTGTGGAATTCCCTTCATTATTATCAATAATCCATATTTTTGAGATTTTTTAAAACTTATAAAACCTAGTTATGTGCCACCACATAAAGATGCACTTGCAGGTGCATTGCTTAAAGGAGAAATTGCGCAAATTGTTGTTAAAGTAGAAGCAGAATTACAAAAAACGAATAACTTAACTCTATGTATATAAATATAATTTTAATTAGTTTAACTATGTGTAATATAATTTAATTAGTTTTTAATTTATATAATAATAAACTTCTATTCATAGCACTTGACGGTTAGACTTCACCAGGGGGTGATTCTCTTTATAATTATATTATCTCTATACTATAGCTGATTATTCAGGAGAGCATCAAACAGGAAATTTTATTACTAATAATATTTCTGAAATTATTGAAAAAATTAGTCCTCACCATTTTGCAGCAATTGTAACAGATAATGGATCTAATATATGTGTCACACAACAAGCTATCCACCATGATTATTCTCATATCTTAGATATCCGTTGTATTGTTCATGCATTAAATCTATTAGCAGTTGATCTTTTAAAAACAACATTAGTTAGAAATATTTTAAAACAAGCTAACATGCTAGTTTCATTTTTTCAAAAGTCTCATTTAGCAAACTGACTATTACAAAATACAATTTTATCAATGAATATTAGAGGTGGTTCATTAGAGACATATGG